CCTACAGTATCTGTCTATATTTCTGTGATGAGGTATTATGTACACTATTTACATTATTCGGACTATTGTCCTCATCTTTGTCGCCATATTTATTACAACGTTTCGGCCTTTGAGTATCTGTCTATATTTCTGAGATGAGGTATTATGTATATTATTTATATTATTCGGACTATTGTCCTCATCATGTCGCCATATTTATTACAACGTTTCGGCCCTTCAGTATCTGTCTATATTTCTGAGATGAGGTATTATGTACACTATTTACATTATTCGGACTATTGTCCTCATCTTTGTCGCCATATTTATTACGTTTTGGTCCTACAGTATCTGTCTATATTTCTGTGATGAGGTATTATGTACACTATTTACATTATTCGGACTATTGTCCTCATCTTTGTCGCCATATTTATTACAACGTTTCGGTTATTTCAGGTGGTTGGAATGTAGAACTGAACTGGGGTAGACTGTTCTAGTTCAACGTGCCATGTTTAATGGATGTCAGTTATCTTCTGTTAATTTCCCACTGAAAATTCTCCATTGCCTTAACCGGGTATTGAACTCATACTCTTTGGTTCCTGTGACTAGATCTAACCAACGCCTTTATCCACTGTGCCATGTGTCCGGCCTTCTTCAGGTGGTTGGAATGTCGAACTGAACCCTTTATATCGCTCACTGGGGTAGACTGTTCTAGTTCCACGTGCCATGTTTAATGGATGTCAATTATCAGTTATCTCCTGTTAATTTCTCACTGAAAGTTCTCCACTTCCTTGATCGGGTATTGAACTCACACTCTTTGAGTACACATGGCACATTGGAAAAAGGCGTTAGTTAGATCCAGTGACAGGACCCAGTATTCATTGCTGTAGAGGAGGACATATATCGCGTAATATTTCAGTAGTTTTTTTCTTCGTTTCTATCTTTTAATACTCTGCTTAGCTTTTGGAAGGCATCTTTGGCCGACCCAATACGTCTTCGGTTCTCAGGGTCGGACTCTCTGTTCTCTGTTAGAACACTTCCAAGTTATTTAGACTTTTGTATTTGTTCGATACTAGTCTACCCGATTCATAATTTGCATTTTGGGCTCGTTTCTATCAACACTGTGTCATCTGCATATCTTATATTGTTAAGATTTTGCCTGGCAATAATGAATCCTGGCAGGACTTCTAACTGTTTTAGAATTGCCACCCTGTACAGGTTGAATAAGTCCGGTGAGAAGACACATCCTTGTCTTACAAAGTTTATTATAATATAAATGACTAACTGAATTAAACGCGCCTTGCGTGTCGCCCATTTTTTGTAAGAAAATTATGACTGATTTGAAATGATTGTTATAATTTGTGAAGAAAAATGATGCATTTCAATATTACCCAATGATCTTGCCGATGTGACCTCCATCTTCTGGCTTTCTCCTACAATTTGGATAAAAGTCATTCCTTTGTTCAAATTTAAATTTAACTTAAATCAAAGGGAAAAATGTGTGTGTGTGTGTGGGGGGGGTGTCCCCTTGGTCAAAATGAAATATACTTATCCAAGTACCCTGGGTAATGTAGTTTCAGAATATATATGGATATGGGGCTCTTTCTCGAAACACTTAGAAGGAGTTCGATAACAGACAGACAGACAGAGGCTACAACTTTATATATTTGTAGATTAAATAAGAAGCACGTAGAAAACTATTTATAAACTTAAGATTTACAAAGTACGCCACAAGGATCTGATGGAACCGCTCAGCAACCTTGATTTATTCGGGAAAGATATCAGAATAATCAAGAACCTATATTGGCAGCAAACAGCCTGCATGCGCATAGGGAAGGAGTTCAGTGAATAGACAAAAATACAAAGGAGCGTAAGGCAAGGATGCGTCTTCTCACCCGACCTGTTCAACCTAGACAGCGAGGCAATCCTGAGAGAATTGAAAAACATACCGCAGATGACTGATAGCAGATACGGAAAGGAACTGACAAAATCTCTTACATAAGGTAGCGACGGAGAGTGTGAAGAAGGGACTAAGCATAAACTACAGGAAGACGGAATGCGTGGTTGTCAGTCAGAGGATGAGCCCGAAATGTGATCTGAAGGTGGGGAACACTAGAATCAAGCAGACGCGGAAGTTTAAATACCTGGGAAGCATCTTGACAGAGGACGGTAAGTGCGACACTAAGATCCGTAGGCGTATTCGGATGACCAAGGACGCATTCCAAAAGCTGGGCAGAGTATTACGAGACAGGAGGATATCTTTGGTAACAAAGAAAAGAATAATGAACTGTTACGTGACATCTGTCATTATTTACGGCAACGAATGTTGGTCGATTCCCTGAAAGTTGAAGAAGAGACTCTAGAGGACAGTGATGTGGTTCTACAGAAGGATGCTAAGGATATCATGGACCAAGCGTGTGAGCAACAATGAGGTCTTAGAGAGGATGCAAACAAGGAGGCGGTTTATATTTAATATCAGGAAGAGATAGCTGAAGTTTCTGGGATACATCATGAGGAAGAAAGGCCTGGAGAATCTGATACTCACGGGTCGAATATAGGGAAAGAGAGACAAGGGAAAAAAACGCATGGCATACCTGGCGGGCTCAAGCAATATGGATGACAAAATGTGATCTGGAGGAAGATGCAGTGGGAAGGAACTTGTTGAGAGCTGCAAAGGATAGAGTGAGGTGGAGAGCCATGATCGCCTACGTCCTGAAAGAACATGGCACATAAAAAGAAACAAGATTCATCCTTATTTTCAATTTATATATAAATATAGATATAACTGAAAATTCTAAACGCTGTGTAGGTGGAATAAATCCGAGGAGAAGACACAGCCTTGTCTTACACCGCTTTCTATTTTTGTGTATCTGTTGAATTCATTTTCTATTACCGGTTTTTAAAAAGCCTTGTTTCTACTACGTCATTAACATAAACTTTTTTCTCTTTCTTTCTTTCTTTCTTTCTTTCTTTCTTTCTTTCTTTCTTTCTTTCTTTTTTTCTTTCTTTCTTTCTTTTTTGATCCCGTCCCGTTGCCTGCACTACTAAGCTGAGCCACGTTTCATATCCAAAGTATCTATCTTCTCGTCTCTCTTGATTGGTACAAATGTGAAATCGTGACTCCGCCCCTGAGTATTAATCGATGTAAGCAACAGGTCTCCCCCCCCAACACCCTTCGATCGCTGAAAGCTTTTCGGCAAACACTTCCCCTCTGGTTTCTTTTTCAATTATTCGTCGAAATTGTCAAATAAGAATTTATTTCTATTCCCCATTTGTATAGGGTGAATAAGCTAATCAATCTCCTTTCGACATCGACATTACTTTCACCGAAGCAATGCGATATTGTCACTGCAGAGGTGAATCCATTTGCCCATGAGACATTATCATCACCGCCACCATCATCATCAATATTATGATCATTCTCTCCTTCTTACTTTTTTTGCTTTTCTTCTTTCTCGTCCTTCCTCTCTACTTCCTCATTTCCTTATTTCCTTTTTCTTCTTTTTCGCCCCACTCTCTTATTTTATCATTTTCTATTTCCTTTTTTCTCTTTCGCTATCGTCTTGCTTCAACTTCTTTGTCGTTGACCTTCTTCTTCTTCTTCTTCTTCTTCTTCTTCTTTTTCTTGTTCTTTTTCGTTTTCTTCTTTTTCTTCTTCTACCTCAAATTTCACTTCTTCTTCTTCGTTTTCTTCTTCTTCGTTTTCTTCTTCTTTTTCTTCTTTTTCTTCTTCGTTTTCTTCTTCTACTTCTTCTTAGTCGTGGACGCGTCCTCTTCTTATTCTACTTCTTTAACCTTCTTCGTTGTCTTTTTCATTCGACTTCTTTGTCGTTGACCTTCTTCTTCTTCCGCATGTCGTTGATCTTCTTCTTCTTTTTCTTCTTCTACCTCAAATTTCACTTCTTCTTCTTCTTCTTCTTCTTCTTCTTCTTCTTCCGCATGTCGTTGATCTTTTTCTTCTTTTTCTTCTTCTACCTCAATTCCCGCTTCTTCACTTCTTCCGCTTGTTCTTCCGCTTGTTCTTGTTCTTCTACCTCAACTTTCGCTTCTTCTTCTTCTTCTTCTTTTTCTTCTTCTTCTTCTCTCTATTAATTCATCTCCCTCCTCTATTTTTTTCCTTCCTCGCTGTCGTCGTTTACGACTTTTTCTTCTTTATTCGGCTTCTTACTCCCTCAAATCTTTTCTCACTTATTTCTTCTTCTTCTTCTTAATTACTTTTTCCTTCCGACTTCCGAATATTTTTCTTTCTTTTATCGATAATTCACTCAATCTTCTTCTTCTTCTTCGTTTTCTTGATTTCTTCTATCGCTCTACTTGCCATATTTCTTTCTTCTTCTTCCTCGGTTTCCCGCTTCTCGACCCACTTCATTTAATCGATTCTTCTTCTTCTTCCTTTTTTCTTCTTCCTCTTCTTTTCTTCTTCCTATTTTCCTTCCATCTCCTTCTTTTCTACTTCTTCTTCTTCATCTTTTACTTTTCTTCTTTTCCACTTCCGTCTTCTCCTTCATTTTCTAACCGCTTTTTTTTCTTCTTCCTCCTCCTCTTTCTCTTCTTCCACTTCTTTGCCTCCTTCTCTTCTTCTTCCTCCTCTTCTTTTTCTTTTATATTCTTCTTTCTCCTCCTCTTTTTCTTAGTCCTCCTCCTCTTTTCTCTCTCCTCTTCTTCCTCCTCCTCTTCCTCTTCACTCACATTCTAATCCGTTCCCCCCCCTTTACTCCTTCCTCTTTTTACTTTAGTTTCTCTTTATCCTATATTCATTATTCTTGCTCTGTTTCGTCAACGCTGTCCTCTTCTTTCTTTTCGTCACGAGCCTCCTCCTCCTTTTTTCTTCCTGATCTTTCTTTTTTATTTAATCGCTGATCCCACTCGCCATATTTATTTCCTTCGCTTTTTCCCGTTTTCTATCTTCTCTTTACAATCTTGATTAAACTTTCTTCTTTCTTCTTCTTCTTCTTCTTCTTCTTCTTCTTCTTCTTCTTCTTCTTCTTCTTCTCTTCTTTTCTTCTTTGCTTTTCTTCTTTCTTTTTCTTCTACTTTCCTCTCGGCTTTCTTTTCTTCTTCTTCTTTTCCTTTCTTCTTTTCCTTTTCTTCTTCTTTTTCTTCTTCTTCTTCTTCTTCTACTTTCTCTTCTTCTTTTCTTTCCATTTCTTCTTCTTCCTCTTCTTCTTCTTCTTCTTCTTCTTCTTCCTCTTCTTCTTCTCCTTCTTTTCTTTTCTTCTTCACCTTTTCTTTTCTTCTCTTTCTGCTTCTTCTTCTTCCTTTTCTTTTTTTTTTTTCTTCTACCTCTTCTTCTTCTTTTCTTCTTCTTCTTCTTCTTCTTCTTTTCTTCTTCTTCTTCTTCCCTCCTTTCCTTCTTCTTCTTCTTCTTCTTCTTCTTTTCTTTCTTCTTCTTCTTCTTCTTCTTCTTCCTCTTCTTCTTTCTTCTACCTCTACTTTCCTTCTTCTTCTTCTTCTTCTTCTTCTTCTTCTTCTTCTTCTTCTTCTTCTTTTTCCTCTACTTTTCTCTTCTTCTTCTTCTTCTTCTTCTTTTTCTACTTCCGCTTCTTCTTCCTCTTCTTCTGCTGCTTCTTCTTCTACCTCTATTGTCCTTCTTTTCTTCTTCTTTTTCTTCTTCTTCTTCTTCTTCTTCTTCTTTTCTTCTTCTTCTGCTGCTTTTTCTTCTACCTCTACTTTCGCTTCTTCTTCTTCTTCTTCTTCTTCTTCTTCTTCTTCTTCTTCTTCTGCTGCTGCTGCTGCTTCTTTTTCCTCTACTTTCGCTTCTTCTTCTTCTTCTTTTTCTACTTCCGCTTCTTCTTCCTCTTCTTCTGCTGCTTCTTCTTCTACCTCTATTGTCGCTTCTTTTTCTTCTTCTCTTTCTTCTTCTTCTTCTTCTTCTTCTGTTGCTTTCTCTTCTACCTCTACTTTTGCACTTTTCTTTTTCTTTAGCTGTATGATTTTTTTCGCTAGTATAATTATAACAATTATTGATCTTTTGTATCATTTATTTTCTGAAAATCTTATTCAGAGAAAAGCTATTGATTTATTAATAAAGTCTCCCGCCCTATTGTAACTGATGGTTTACGCAAGAGATTTTAGTGACAGTAAGTCTTTTCTATCACTTGCCTTAGGTTTTGTTTTCATCTTTTCCTTCTTATTAAAGTAATTACATTTATATCAATGCCGCTGACCGAGTTGATTAAATCTGTGTCCTCATATTTAATATTGCTCACTTTATTCGAGGGCAAGAAGAGCACGATGCCAAAATTGAGTATTTGGGCTACACTGAAATTAAGGAAATACGAGGACATCAAGAACATTCAATATATATATATATATATATATATATATATATATATATATATATATATTGTTAAATATGACAAACAATGAATATCTATTATGTTTGACCATTTTAAACTACGTATATTTGCTTTAATTTCGGGTGAAAATAAAGACAAAAATTGTACAACATTTCGATATTTATTTTATTAAGTTGGTCCTTGATCTAAGATTCCGGCTCACTAAGATTCACCATCAAAGATGATATTCTGTTATGTTGGCACGGAAGATTGCTATGCGACGATAACGGTCGCAGAATATCAGTCGCAGGACGTAAATTCATGATGTGGTTTCATGACATCGTACCACGTGAGTGACCAAAATATTAACAACAGAACCATATGATGTAATGTATATATATATAATGTAACGTATATATATATGTAATGTATAGATATATATATATATATATATATATATATATATATTATAAATTAATTGATTTAAAATATGGTTTTAAATATAGCTTTTTTTCCGCTTCACATTTCTAACCATGTTTCAAAAATGGAAGCTAAAGCCACGAATTTAATTTTGCAATTAAATTAAAGACATTCGCTTGAGGATGAAATGGTACTAATGTCTTTAATGTAATTGCAAAATTAAATTAGTGGCTTTAGCTTCCATTTTTGAAAAACATGGTTAGAAAACTTTGTAATGAAAAAAACATATTTTAAAATCAATTAATTTATAATATTAATGCTCTGTAAATTTACATCGAGCACTATTTTGTAAAAATAAAAATACCTATAAGAACACCGGATTATATATTTTACTATTTCTTTCTTTTTTATTTATATACACACACACACACACATATATATATATATATATATATATATATATATATATATATATATATATATATATATATTTATTGCATTTTATTACTTCAAAGCCCCTAAGAAAATTAAATTTTTTGGCATTAAATGACCCATAAGACGTTGGTATACCATTAAACAAACATCTTATTTTATTAATTCTGTTAATTTTAACTCCTATATCTTGGTAATAAAATTTTTTCTTCTGGCTTAGTAGTTCTTATCTCAAGTAATCCCGGGTTTGATGATAAACTATATCTGGCAGCAAGGCCTCTGATCTGGGGGTTTTGAGGAGCATGTAACCAACTCTTAATAACCGTTGTTCTCAGGTATGCTCTGACCTAGGGTGGTAGCACTTAGTAGGATCCAAGCTATGGGCAAATAGTGACCCCTTCCACCTACAACGAAAAATATAAAGACATTATAAGTATAAAATACAAATTTATAGTAAAATGACCAGCAATACATTTTATCTGAGGTTGAAGACATGCAAATGCATTCAATATAATTTAGATTTCAGCGTTAAATAACCCATAGAGGTGTTGATATGCCGCTAAACCAAACAACCAATATGAAAGAACTCTTTCATGACATTGATCCATATAATATTGTATAAATTCTTAAAGAAATCAAACTTCAATAAAACACACATATCGCTGTTAAACAAAAACGGAACAATGAAAGTATAACAAATATTTTTTATACTAAAATTACAAAGTCTGTCTATATTTCTGAGATGAGGTATTAGGTACAATATTTACATTAGTCGGACTATTGTCCTCCTCTTTGTCGCCATATTTGTCACAATGTTTCGGCCGTTGTACGCTCCGGCCCTCTTCAGGTGGTTGGAATCCTCAAGGACACATGGCACAGTGGATAAAGGCGTTGGTTAGATCCAGTGACAGACCCAAAGAAGGTGAGTTCAATAACTGGTTAAGGCAATGGAGAACTTTCAGAGGGAAAATTAACAGGAGATAACTGATAACTGACATCCATCAAAACATGGCACGTGGAACTAGAACAGTCTACCCCAGTGATCGAAATAAAGGGTTCAGTTCGACATTCCAACCACCTGAAGAAGGCCGGAGCGTACAACGGCCGAAACGTTGTGACAAATATGGCGACAAAGATGAGGACAATAGTCCGACTAATGTAAATACTGTAAAATTACAAACAATGCCAATTTATAGTAGAAATTTCAACAATAAATTTTATCTGCAGTTCAAGGCATACAAATGCCTTCAAAATATTTAGTTGAAGGCGTAGAACTGTGTTCAAAATATTTACATTTCGGCCTTAAATAACCCATAGAGGTGTTGATATGCCGCTAAACAAAATCAAGCAAACAAACAATCAACATGAAAAAAACACCCTCATGACATTAATCTATATAACATCTAACAATTTCTAAACGAAACCATATTGTATTCCAAAGTAAGACTTCAATAAGACGTCAATTTCTGCAGCATAAAACACATATATCCAACATGTATATGCAAAAAGTATCATCTACCATGTATTCAACTGTGAAAGCAGAATAACATATTTTTAATGAAAAGAGAAAGAATAATTTCAAACGTCGCAGGAGACTTCAAATTCTAATTTTGACGATTATATATCGAGCTTGGAAGGATTTTTTTTTTTTAATGAAAACTGCATTTTTAATTCGAGAGAACGCGAGATGAAACCGCTGATTCGGGATTTACAAGAAGATTCGTTGAATTGACTTGATACTCTGCCGTACTGTGGAAAGTGTGGAAAGATGTATTGACGTTTGTAACAAAAGCCTTGTCTTTCTGAATAGGAAATAGAAAAAGGACACAATATGTTTTGAAATTGTACAATGGCGTGACCGAAACAATGTGTTAGCAAGAAAGCCAATAGAATTAAGAAGTAATTTCCATAGTCGAAACAAAAGCCAGGACAACAACAATAGGGATATGATTATTAATTTGATGGACTTGTGGAATGAAAAAAAAAAAGAAAAGAAAACGCACTCATCTTAGAATTAACATCAATGAGGAAGGTCGAAGAACGCACCGGCTGAAAAACAGTGATAAAGCTAACGTTTGTATAAAAATAATCAAAACGGCTTGTAGGATAAGGACAAGGGTTTCGCTAAGAATTTCATTTCACTCAGTGGAAGGCTAAAGAATGCATCGGCTGAGATGCAATGGTAAAGCCGACAAGGATGTAAGTATTGATCTGAACGACTTGTGGGTAAATGAAACGCACGCATCCTAGAATTTAAGACAATGAGGAAGGCTGAAGAATGCATTGGCTGAATGTTATAGTGGAACACACCTATTCTATAGTTAATAGACTCTCCCACCTATAATAAGTAGGAGTAGTAGGGAGTCGCTCAGTGGGTCGGTTAGTCAGTCGATGCTGGACGACCGTTAGTCGGATACTAAAGTATCAGCGACCACAACTAGATTTCTCTGCGTCATTACCTATTATATCAAGTTCCTAACGTTTTGTACGTCGAACCTATTTTAGGACCCACTTAGTACAAATACAAGCCTCCACTATGAAACCACTCCATAACACTGAAATATTGTGACAACATCAACGAAATGCGTGAGATAAAAAAAAAACGACAAAAAAAAAAACAAACAAAAAAAAAAAACAAGCATAAATAACATAATCTGGACGACCTGTAGAATAATGACGAGGGATTATCACAGAATTTATTTTTACTCCGCAGAAGGCTGAAGAATGCATCGGCCGAAATCTAATGATAAAGCCATAAAAGGATGAACAGTTTTGATCTAAACGACTTGTGGGAAAAAGAAAAAAAAACACTCATTTCAGAGTTTAAGACAAAGAGGGAGGCTGAAAAAAAGTCATAAAACAAACAAGGTTATGAAAAAATAATCAAAACTGATTGTAGAATAAAGATAAGGGCGTAACGTAATCTGTTGAAGGCTGAAGAAATTCTCAGCCGAAATGCAATGATAAATACAACAAGGACGAACATATTGATCTAAACGACTTATGGGAAAATGGAAAACACTCATCTCAGAATTTAAGACAATCAGGAAGGCTGGAGAATGCATCGGCTGAAATATTGGAACAAGTAAGGCAAAAATAACAAGCATAAATAAAATAATCTGAACGACTTGTGGAATAAGTAGAATAAATCTTCTCGGAATAAAAAAGACACTAAGGAAGGCTAAAGAATGCATCGGCTGAAATGTGATAAAACCAACAAGTATAAGGATGTTAATCTGAAACCCTTGTGAAATAATTATAAGGATTAATGTCAGAATTTCACACTCAGAGGAAAGCATGAAATGTAATGAGATTATCTTCTTTTGGATAACTATTTGCCATTTCACTAAAAAAACATTTTATTAAAAACTATAAAACTAAGCTAAAGATGAAAGGAATCATTTTCATATTCTTCTGCTGACCTTTCATGGCAGCCATTTTCAAAATGGTTGATACTGACATTGCCCAAGAGTAAGACGCAAGCGTCAGAGTGGTTGTGGTGGTGGGGGTGCGTTGTATTCACTTGTGGTTCTGTTCAAGTATTGACCTTTTGTTCGTCTTTGTATAAAAATAGTAGACAGGCAGTGGGAGAGTGGTTTTCGAAAATAAGTCGGTTGCATTAAGCATTCATAGGCTTATGTATATAAAAAGAAAATTTAACAAATTTACTGAGATTAGTTGCGTAAAGACAATAAGCACTTGAAGATGTACTAACGTTGTTGCTCTGTAAAAAGTGACTTACATAAGATATGACGAGCAGGCCACGTGACCTGAACGTAAATTGGTCAGTTTCGATTTGAATAAAAATTCATTTTTTGGATAGGGGGAAAAAAAGATGGATAAATTGCCAAAGCATCACTAAAATCAATTATATATATATATATATATATATATATATATATATATATATATATATATAGTGGTCAATCTAATAAATAAATTATAACCATTTGTATCTATAAAGAATGTTAAACATAAAATGTCTTTATATATAATATAAAAGGCTCAAACACTAATATTAGTGTTTGAGCCTTTTATATTATATATAAAGACATTTTATGTTTAACATTCTTTTATAGATACAAATGAAAATACTATGAAAATTTCACGGACATTCAGGTCGGTAAATGTTATTTAATACTGTTTATTATAAACAGAGCATATATATATATAATTGCACCCCAAGCTATGTGATAATGCCACTAAGATGTAGGGGTTACAGGGAGTGAAAGAGAACGAGAAAACTTTAAATCATTCAAATCTTAGATCATATTTTGAACTGTTGTATATCAGTCATATAATAAATATATTTGGTAATTGTTTTGGTGTCCTTCCTCTAAAGAGTTTTTGATGGACTATTTCGCCTACTATAAGATTAGTAGGAGAGAAGGCCTTGGGGGAATAGCCGAATAGATTGAACGCTGGGTTAACCTACACACACTCACTAGTCGTGTAATACTCTTCTGTTGTACTTACTGTTTAATATATGATATATCTGTAACATTTGTTTTGTTATTTCTTTAACCATTTACTTGGACGCAACAGTAAACTATGTAATTTCTATAACCAAAGATACTTGCTCATTATGGGGACACGTTATATGTACATATATATATATATATATATATATATATATATATATATATATATATATATATATATATATATATATACATATATATATATATATATATATATATGTGTGTGTGTGTGTGTGTGTGTGTGTGTGTGTGTGTGTGTGTGTGTGTGTGTGTGTGCGTGTGTTTGCGTGTGTTTGCGTGTATAACTGTCTTGTTCTTACATCTGCGCCTAAATTCACAGATAAACGGTCAAGGTAATTTGTCTATTCCTACTCAAAAGAGGTATTGCGTAGCCGAAACCTATAAAACACAAATTGCCTATTCGGCATCGATTCCGTATTGTGTTGAATTCAAACGCTAATGAAATTACGAGAGAAGCAAGTGAGTAAAATTTGCAGACGACATCTTCCAGTCATAACATCAGTATATCGGCATCGGACTTCAGCGGAAAGGTTCTTTGACAGAAAGTGTTATTGCGAAGAGTTTATGGAATTTGCAAATTTAATTTTTATTCACTTTTTTTTTTTTGTCTCTCTTTTTTTTTTCTTTCGTATTTTTTTTTGTTCGTTTTCATTTTTTTTCCCCTCTTTGGTTCGCTTTTGTTTTTCTCTTTCATCCATTTCGTGTAATTTTCTTTCGTGATTTATCGACTTGATTTTTTTTCTTGGGTCTTTTAATGTTTTTCTGTGATTTCTTCATTCGTTGCTTCATTCTTGCCACTTCCACCACCCACTTGATTGACATTTATTTTCTTTCGACTTGGTTATTTCCTGGTATTCCTATTCCTTTTAACTCCATTTTCTTTGCTTACAGCCATTTGTCCAAACGTTTGAAGTGCCATCTCCCGTTTAACTTTCTTACTTTCTATCTTTTAGGTTTCACACATTCCTTCATTCAATTTTTTCAGTTACTTTTTTTCTGACATTTTTCCATGGTTTGTTTCCATTGAAAATTTTTCGTCTTCCATTCTTCTTGCTGTCTCTCCTTCCCCCCTTCCTTCCTTCCTTGCTTCCACATATTTATCCTTCCTTACTTCTTTCTTTCCTTCCTTCATTCCCTACTTCCTTCCTTCTTTCCTTCCTTCCTTCTTTCCTTCCTTTCTTCTTTCTTTCCTTCCTTCTTTCGTTCGTCCCTTTCTTCGTTCCTTCTTTCCAGCCTGAACTCATTTTCTCTCTTTCTTTCTTTTGCCCTTCCTTACTCTCTTCTTTTTATTCGTTTTCTTTTACTCTTTCCCTTCCTCTCCCCTTCCCTACATTTTATGATTTATTTCTCTCTCTCTTTCCCTTCCTTTTCTTCTTCCTAGCCTCCGTTCTTTCTTCCTTTCTTTCTTTTCTCACATTTACTGCTCCCTATTTCGTTCTCTCCTTTCAAAGTTTCTTTCACTGTCTCCTTACTCTTAATCTTCTTTGCCCTTCCTTACTTCCCCCTTTCTTTCATTCGCTTTCTTTCCATTTTGCCTTTTTCATTCATTCATTCTTTCATTCATTCATTCTTTCATTCTAACTTTTCCTTTTTCCTTTCCTCTCACCATCCTTCCATTTACGCTTGTTTCTCTATCTCCTTCCTTCTCCCTAGCTTCCGTTCTTTCTTTTATCCCTACATTTACTCTCCCTAGTTCGTTCTCTTCTTCCTAAGTTTGCTTCGATGTTTCCATGTATTATTTTCCTTTTATTCACTTCTTTCCTTCTTTCTTTCTTTCTTTCTTTCTTTCTTTCTTTCTTTCTTTCTTTCTTTGATTTGTTTTCTCTCCGCATTTCATTCATTCATTTTAACTATTCCTCTTCCCATTCCTCACTCCCTCCCTACTTCTTACGTTTACATCTCTGTCTCTTTCTTTCCTTTCTTCTTCTTAGACTCCGTTCTTTCTTTCTTTTTTTTTTTTCTTTTTTTCTCTTTCTTTCTTTCTTTCTTTTCTTTGATTTGATTTTTTTCTCCGCCTTTCATTCATTCATTTTAATTTTTTCCTCTTCCCATTCCTCCTCCCTCCCTACTTCTTACGTTTACATCTCTGTTTCTTTCTTTTTCCTTTCTTCTTCTTAGACTCCGTTCATTTTCTTTTTCTTTCTTTCTTTTTCTTTTTTCTTTTCTTTCTTTTTCTTTCTTTCTTTCTTTCTTTCTTTGATTTGTTTTCTCTCCGCATTTCATTCATTCATTTTAACTTTTCCTCTTCCCATTCCTCACTCCCTCCCTACTTCTTACGTTTACATCTCTGTCTCTTTCTTTCCTTTCTTCTTCTTAGACTCCGTTCTTTCTTTCTTTCTTTCTTTCTTTCTTTCTTTCTTTCTTTCTTTCTTTCTTTCTTTGATTTGTTTTCTCTCCGCATTTCATTCATTCATTTTAACTTTTCCTCTTCCCATTCCTCACTCCCTCCCTACTTCTTACGTTTACATCTCTGTTTCTTTCTTTCCTTTCTTCTTCTTAGACTCCGTTCTTTCTTTCTTTTTTTTTTTTTTCTTTCTTTCTTTTCTTTCTTTCTTTCTTTGATTTGTTTTCTCTCCGCCTTTCATTCATTCATTTTAACTTTTCCTCTTCCCATTCCTCACTCCCTCCCTACTTCTTACGTTTACATCTCTGTTTCTTTCTTTCCTTTCTTCTTCTTAGACTCCGTTCTTTCTTTCTTTCTTTTTTTCTTTCTTTCTTTCTTTCTTTCTTTCTTTGATTTGTTTTCTCTCCGCCTTTCATTCATTCATTTTAACTTTTCCTCTTCCCATTCCTCACTCCCTCCCTACTTCTTACGTTTACATCTCTGTTTCTTTCTTTCTTTTTTCTTCTTCTTAGACTCCGTTCTTTCTTTCTTTTTTTTTTTTTCTTTCTTTTTTTCTTTCTTTCTTTCTTTGATTTGTTTTTTCTCCGCCTTTCATTCATTCATTTTAACTTTTCCTCTTCCCATTCCTCACTCCCTCCCTACTTCTTACGTTTACATCTCTGTTTCTTTCTTTCCTTTCTTCTTCTTAGCCTCCGTTCTTTCTTTCTTTCTTTCTTTCTTTCTTTCTTACATTTACTGTTCCCTACTTTATTCTCTCTTTCTTAAGTTTGCTTCGCTGTTTATTCTCCCCCTTTCATTCACTTCTTCCTTCCTTTCTTTCTTTCTTTCTTTTGCGTCTTTATCTCCTTCACGCTTTTCGGTTCACCTCCTCTTTCCATTTCCATTAACAGCTGTTTCTTCCTTTCTATCTAATTCCTCTTTCTCCTTTCATTATTTCGTTCAGGCTTCATCCTCTCTTTTCTCCTCTCTGCCTCTTCCTTTCTAATAACACTCCTCCCTTCAATTTTTTCTTTGTTTTGCTTCACTTATTTTTTTTTTCACACCTTTTTAGGTGTTTCAAATTTTTCTTTTTCCTTCTGCTGTCGCCATTACACATTTTCGCTGAACGCCGCTTACCGAAACGAAACAAATAACCATCGCTAATTTACAACCAGTCATACTTTTCGTCGTTTCCATTTTTCGCATTTTCAAACACTCAAGTCCACATTAAACAACACTTCTTATTTTACATAAGCAATGTGAATTTATAAAATAACACATACACACACACAAAAAAAAAAACATTGAAAAAATCACACCAAGTCAATCGGACTGCTTTCTTCCTTCTTTGAGAACGTATGGTAGATTTTTAAATGCAATAAAGCAATCTCACTCGCCTTAGTTATTTTATTAATCATTTCACTCTAAGCAAGGCAATAACGTTACTAAGACGCAGTGTGTTCACTAAGGGAGAAATAATATGAGATAAAGAAACATTATTACGGAGAAAGAACAATATAAAAACAGTAATAATAAACAGAGCATGCCAATTGGCATTGCGTTTAAATTTTTATAGATCAAAGAAGACTAGAAAACAAGAAGCCAGAAGAGAGTTCCACAAACGAGAAATGCGAGAGAAGAAACTGTTAGCATAGAACTTGTGGTTACATCTCGCCATTTCAAATGATGAGGCCTTGCAGGCAATATGATAGTAGGCTTAAATTCTAGATACCAAAGAGGAAAACTCACTGGAACATTTTTACCATGAAAATATTTATAGAAAAGACAGAGGAAGGCTACATAGCAACTGAAGCCGAGATGCCAGATCAAGACAAATAACATTGCAGATTCTTCTTTTTAGTTCATCAAGAATCTCTAAATACATAATAGAAGTATATTAGGACTGGACTAGTGGACTGGACCACCTGGACTAAGCGCCACAATGACTAATTCGATGTCCCCATGGGAGCTTATGACTCAGCCCAAGTTGCTGATCTGGTATGTTTTTACATTTTAGATGTGCTCAGTAGAATCGTAAAACCGGAGCTAATAGGATTGTATAGGGATGACGGACTTATCCTCATTCTTAATAGTAATGGTTCACTAAAAGGGAAATTACAAAAGAAAATTATTAGGGCCTTCAAATTTCTAGTGTTTAAGATCGAGATTTCCTCTAATCTTAAGATAGCTGACTATCTAAATATCCCCCTTAACCTTAATGATGAAACTTTTAAACCTTAGCATAAAGAGAACGAAACCTACAACTATATTAATATCGGTTCTAACCACCCTAGTGCAATCCTAAGACAAATGCCCATTACCGTTTGCGCCAGGATTAGTAAACTATCGTCCAATGAAAAAAAATCTTTAATAAGACTAAAGGGCTATGCGAAAAGGACCCCCAAAAAGTGGTTTCAAAAGTAAACTGTCTTACGCAACCACTATTAGTAATACCGATACACAAAAAGTGGAATGGAGGTGTTAAAATAGGAAAAGAAAAATTGCTTGGTTCAACCCCCGCCATTGTGCAAATTGGCAAGTATCAACACCGGACAGTAATTCCTAAACTTAGTTACTAAACACTTCAACAAAAAACCCCTCTAAATAAGATATTCAACAGGAAATCAGTTAAAATTTGCTACTCCTGCATTGATAATATGTACCAAATTATTAATTCCCATAACAATTACATTTTAAGTAAATTCCATGGGGGGAAAAGTCTACCATGGAAACCCATTGTAATTGTAGAATTACGAAAACTGCCCAGTAGATGGCAAATGCAGATCCACTAGGGTAGTATACCAGGCAACCATTACCCTTAAAGAAAATACGACAAACCATAATATTTACATCGGCATTTCTGCAGGAGAATTTAAAAAGAGAATCAATACACATAGACATTCATTCACCATTCCAAAATTAAAACCTCAAACAGACCTTTGGAAAAATAAAAATTGGGGAATTGAAGAAAAATGGTTTGAATTCTCAAATAAATTCGAATATTTTAGGTTTCGCGAACACCCCCAATAATTTTAGTGATAGGTGCAAGATTTGTTTAGAAGAAAAAAAACAGTATAATAAAATATAAAAATTAATGCAAACTATTAAATGAATGAAAAGAACTAATCACAAAATGTAGACAAAGAAATAAATTCCAAATTACATGTGGGGATGTATGTGTACGTATAGTGACATATATGTATGAACATGTAAATGTACATATATATATGTATGAAGATATGTACGCATATAAGTGCGTTGGACAGCATGATTTATTCCATTAGGTGCTCTGATATTACCCACAGTCTATAAATCTATAACTCAACTAATTTACATTATCTTAACGGGTTTAAGTTTGAGTCCTCCATCGCTTATTAATAATATTGGACACCTGTAGTACAAAAACTATTTCTGTGTATCTCAGAAAACATACTCTGGGGTTCTTATAAGAAACACCACATAGTAGGAACTGATATTAAACTATAAACAACTAGCCCGGGCCATAAATAAACTCCAACCCCAGACCGCTTCCCCCGGAATAAGATATCTTACTCGCCACCAATCGCTGACACAAACCCACTCTCATTAAAAAGGCGTCTACCAGACTGACATTGAAAATAAATTTGAAACAATGTCCCGAGACAGACACTTAGGGGCTGATGATAGCCGTATACAGAACGGCTTGAAATAGACTATATCTATGTTGAGGTAATTTTTGTTTCGTTGTAAAAATACATACGTTCTGTTAAAACTAAAAACATCGAGCTCTCTGTTGATCAGTTTTAATAATTAATATTACTAGGATCCATTCGAATTATATACCAACGGACCGATTACCTGTACTATCGAGAACATTAAAGAAAAATTAATTATATTTAATAATATGTAGAAATCTCCACTTTTACCTGAAGACGGTCGCGAGACCAGAAACACGTGTCGTAGTAAAATTATGTAAAACAAAGCATAATATTTTTTCTAAATAAATCCACATTACAACCAAAAACGTTTGCGGCACCTCTCTTCTTTTTTTTTATATATATATATATATATATATATATATATATATATATATATATATATATATATATATATTGTATACATATTATTATTTTGAATTGAGTTAAAGAATTTTATATGGGTTTATTGTTATTTTAGCGTTTTGACATTTCTAATATTTTACGACGTAAACTCGAGTAAAATGACGTAAGGCGAGTTTTATTTTTCCATATAATACTTAAAAAACCGACGTATGTTTGAAAATGACTTAACTCGAGACGACGTAATCCGAGGTATCAATGTATAATAATTTCTCAATGTGTACATTGTGAAGGGCGTTTTATAGGAAATGGGAGCGAAAATGACACGCAGAATGAGTTGACATTACAAGAACAAATAAAGAGGGCTTGGAGAATTTAACACTCACAGGACATATTGAAGGCAAGATGTTCACATACAAACAGTAAATAACTTCCTAACGAACTTTTTAAATGGATGACAGAACATGGATTTTGATGGAGGACAAATACAGATAAACGTTGGTTATATTGACTGCTTTGTGTCTGTGTTTGTTTATGAGTGTATGTGCGTATGTGGAGTAACGTGTCGACGAAGGAATGTGTGATTCACTGCCCGTGGGTACGTATCTATTAAAGACAAAGAGCAGACAATGAAGATCGAGACCCCTAAACGAGTGGCAGGCAAAATAGGCTTTCTAACCATTACTGAATTGCTGGCGACCACTTGATACGTCGATATAGGAAAATATAAAATCAAGCAAACTTTTTCAATGTTCATATATATCTATCTATCTATCGATCGATCTTAATGTTTGTTTGTTTGTTTCTTTCTTTCTTTCTTTACCCTATTTATATCTATCTATCTATCTTATCTCCATTCTTTTTAATTTCTTTCTTTCTTTCCATCCTTCCTTCCATTCTTTTTCTCTCTTTAACCTATTAATATCTATCTATCTATCTATCTATCTATCTATCTATCTATCTATCTATCTATCTATCTATCTATCTCTTTCCTTATCTCCATTCTTTCTTTCTTTCTTTCTTTACTTTATTCATATCTATCTATCTATCTATCTATCTATCTATCTATCTATCTATCTATCTATCTATCTATCTATCGCAGTCTGTTTCTAATTATCTATCTATCTATCTATCTATCTATCTATCTATCTATCTATCTATCTATTTGGTTATTACATAAATGCCTTATATTTTATTGTAATACTTAACATTTATTAATAGTTCTAACGAATCATTCAGTAATGTATTCCCCTTCATTGTTTACGACCTCCTGCCAATAATCCTCTAACGGTTCAATGTTTCGACGATAGAAATCACTAGGTTTTGACTCTATAATTTTATCAAACAATGTTTTAAGCTCTACATCGTTGTTGAACAAAGCACCCCTCAAATTGTTAGAAACCGACCGAAGAAGGAAATAGTCTGAAGTAGCCAAATCATGAGAATATAGTGTGCGGGGAAGAAGTTTCCATCCGAGCTCTTTAATTGCATGTTTTGTTATGCCAGCGACGTGGGGGTGCGTACAATGTCATTTTGAATAATCATGCTCTATCGTCGGTCAGGTCTTTTCAGCTGAATTGCCTCTTCATTTGGTTCAACATAGAGCTTAGCATGGACGGTTTGATTGTTTTGAAGCATATCATATTATTCTGACATAATGAAGTCATATTTGGATGTCAGCAGAAATGTCTCGGCCAGGTTTGGCGGCTTTGTGACCTTGATTAAAAGCAAAGAGGAGAAGATGTCGAACATGATAATTCTTGCCTACTTAAAATTCCATCTCAAAAAGGTGCCTCATCTGAAATGGTAATTCAATAACGTTAGACAAGAATATCACAGAATGGTTAGGTTTACGAAGAAGTAAAAAATTCTACGAAAGATTATTTGAAATCATCCGCAGAACATCAGAAAATAAAAACGAAGAACTAATTTCTATCTATCTACCTATCTATTTCACTCTGTTCATTTTTATCTGTCTCGAACTGTCCATATCTATCTATCTATCTATCTATCTATCTATCTATCTATCTATCTCAAACTGTTCAAATCTATCTATCTATCTATCTATCTATCTATCTATCTATCTATCTATCTTAACCTGTTCAAATCTATCTATCTGAAACTGTTCAAATCTATCTATCTGAAACTGTTCAAATCTATCTATCTATCTATCTATCTATCTCGATCTGCCCCTATCTGTCTGTCTCTTTTTTTGCCTGTTAGCTATTTCATTTTTCTCAACACACACACACACACACACACACACACACACACACACACACACACACACACACACACACACACACACACACACATATATATATATATATATGTTGAGAGCATTAGTTTTGTTTCACTGTTTTGTAAAAATAAAAATAAAAATATCAATAAGAACACCGGATTATATATCTTACTGTTCGTTCTTTCTTTCTATCTTTTATATATATATATATATATATATATATATATATATATATATATATATATATAAATTCATGAATTTATAAATTGATTGCACGTTTATCGTAATATATATATATATATATATATATATATATATATAGTTTGTCACTCAGGTGGTAGCCAATCCCTATTGCAGACTCTCACTCAAGTACAGTTGTGTTTTGCTCAACATCCACAGATCCAGCCTTTTGTTTTATCCTGCAACTATGCTGAGCAGACGTTTGTTACAGTTTCTTGGGGAGATTGTGTTATCTAGAATGATCAACAATCTGAACAGCACCAGCAGGCCCAAAACCCTCGGTCACGATGACTTGTGACTTTGTGCTAGCACAGCTATCGACAACCCTCAAGTGTTCCGTCTACCCAATTTTACTCACGAGGCTTGGGTAAACCCGTTGTATGGTTTTCAGGGACATTCAAAAGGTGCCGCACGCTTGAGATCGTCTCTGCTCCAGACAGATAACATCAGGAAGTTTTCTCCCTGACAAAACGACCATGGTGAGATTCGAACAGGGGTCTCATGGTCAGAAAGCGAACGTTTCAACTATTCGGCCACGCTTAGTACGAACAAAATTAGATGTTATGATTGATGTTATACTCATTTACATTCATCCCATTGACTCAGGGATTTCCTAGACGAAGCTTTTTGTAATCTTTCTATCCACTCGTCAGGAGATTTCAGAAATTGGTTGCTGATTTTCTCATTCTCCTAATTTTTATACTAATTTAAAAATTAATTTATACACCAGTTATTGGTGTTGGCATGACTTTCCTTTTGTGTGTGCGCACACACACACACACACACACACACACACACACACACACACACACACACACACACACACACACACACACACACACATATATATATATATATAAATAAAAAGAAAAAAGTTTACTAAATCAGTGAAATTAAGTAGCTATTTTTGCCGTCAGTGTCATAAATTTTACTTAAATAATATTTAAATATAAAAAAAAATTGTAACTTAATAATATACATACTTATACTTGATGTGAAAATAATTCTCGATGCTGTAAGGGATTCTAATACATTTAATTGTGCTTAAAAGAAATATAGTATATTAAAAATTAAAAGTGAAAATATTTCAAATTGTAGTTAAATAAAGCGTATTCTAACCTAACCACCCCACAAATCTTTAATAATACAAATAGAAAAAAATGCCGTAAGAATATTTGCCGTTAACAATAAAATTTTGAAAAAATCCAGACGACATGCATTTAATGGATGTTAGATTTCATTGAAAAATTCATCCCTACCCCCTACCAAAACGTAACTAATAACGGATACATCAAAATACAGACGTAATGAACACGCCGACACCCCTTGTCTAGTGGAAGTGGATTCATCTGTAACCTTGGAAACATGAATTATGATTTTAGCTGTGTCTTTAATACCCAGTAATTTTAAAAGTTTCTCTAAAATTCACTTGAGGATGAAATGGAACTAATGTCTTTAAATTAAATTCGGAGCTTTTAGCTTCCATTTTTGAAACATGGTTAGAACTGTGTAGCGTAAAAAACCATATTTTAAATCAATTAATTTATACTATATATATATATATATATATATATATATATATACGTGGATTTTCAGGTAAGTATAGTTGTGCGTGAGTGTCCTCTATGTTCTCTTTTCTACATTCACAGGAATATTCTTATTCTATTGACGATTTTAGCCCCGTTTATCTAAAAAAAAAAATCGATATAGAAAGAGCGCGAATGTGTTCGAGGCAGACGATAAAGGAGACTGTCATCAAAAAAGAAACAAAGCAGAACTTCTGCAGAACAAAACAGGCAATGGCAGAAAGCAGAGACGAAACAGAAGGGAAAGAGACACTGTCACTTTGTTTTTGTGACACTTTCCGCCTTCTGAGTTCATTATTTTTGCAAACGCTCGTGCGCAAAGCCAAGTTTTCAATTGATCATTTTCCTAGAGATCGTTTCGGAAAAATAAGCGGTCTGTCCACTTTTCCTTTGAATTTTGTAGTTTCACTTTTATTCATTTACTAGTTGAAGTGTCTGTCTATGCCGGTTTATGATGACTGAATTGTAATAGTGAGCTGGGAAAACTAAAGTTATATATATATATATATATATATATATATATATATATATATATATATATTATTGCTTAAAATAATTTGTTGCTTAAAAATAAATAAAATTCATAAATTAAAATAAAATATATCGGATATATATATATATATATATATATATATATATATATATACATATATATATAAACCTAAAGAGCCAGGTAAGATTAGGCTTTTATATTAGGTTTATATTAGGTTTGCTCTACTTTGTGTATTGAGCACGTAGTTCCTTTGACTCGTTTTGGAGGTTTTTTCTTTGGACTCTGAGTTTAAACTCTGGACAATTGTTTTCATTTTTCTTGGTTCTTTCTTTTTTTTATTCCTCATTTTTCCTTGGGTACTGTTTTTTTGCTTCTACAAACCGAAATACCCAAGGTTTTTCCAATCGAGTAAACTATATATATATATATATATATATATATATATATATATATATATGTGTGTGTGTGTGTATGTGTGTGTGTTCAAACAGGTTTTTGTTAAATAATTTAGGTATATTATGTCTATTTATTTTGGTTGTGATCATTCAAATTCACGGATTAATTTCTTGGTAGCCGCAGAAAATTGATTAAGAAAAATACCAAAATTTTCTTTCAAATAATTTTTATTTTCGTAAGTACTTTCAGTCTAACATGAGAACATCTTCAGGGAGGTAAATATTTTGTAAATGTGTATATGTATCTTCTGCAAATTGAAAACATTTCATTTGTTTTACTGCGTTATGCATCGTTATAGATTTCACATAAAAGATTCATGTTTTTTTTCCAAAGAGGTAACTTTAATTTTTTTATTTTTATATATATATATATATATATATATATATATATATATATATATATATATATATATATATATATATAATAAAAAAAGACAGAACAGTAAGATATATAATCCGGTGTTCTTATAGATATTTTTTTTTTTTACAAAATAGTGCTCAATGTAAATTTACAGAGCATTAAAAAAATTGTTACGTAATAATATACATACTTATAGTTAATGTGAAAATAACTCTACATACTGTAAATCTATTCAATACATTTACTTACTCTTAAAAAGAAATATAGTATATTAAAAATTAAAAGTGAAAATATTTTTCAAATTGTAGTTAAATAAAACGTATCCTAACCTAAATACCCCCACCCAAAATTTTAAATATACAAATGGAAAAAATGCTGTAAGAATCTTTGGCGTTAACAATAAAATTAAAAAAAAAATCCAGACGACATGCATTTAACGGATGTCAGATTTCATTGAAGAATACATCCCTACCCCCTACCAAAACTGATACATCAAAATACAGACACAATGAATATGCAAACACCCCCCGTCTGGTTGAAATGAATTTCTCTGTTTCATTGGAAACGTAAATTATGATTTTTGCTGACTTTAAAACCCAGTAGTTTTATAAGTTACTCCAAAATTCGCTTGAGGATGAAATGGAACTAATGTCTTTAATTTAATTACAAAATTAAATTTGGACCTTCCATTTTTGAAACATGGTTAGAACTGCGTAGCGGAAAAACCATATTTTAAATCAATTAATTTATAATGTATGCATATATATATGTGTGTGTGTGTGTGCATGTGTGTGTGTATGTGTAAATTTATACTGTTATAAACATTTAAGAACTTTGTCGCTATACTTTTAGTTGCCTTTATTTTTGACTTTAATTCTCTTATATAAAAACCTACTAGGATTTTTAGTTTTGCTTATTATTGTTTTTATGAAATATGTATATTCATCTAATATCTGTCTAAACTGTGAGTGTGGGCAGGAGTGTTCCTTCGAATGTTCTGCGATGGAACTATGCTCATCTAAATGGAATATAAGTTTTTTTTTATTAGCATCGTCGTAGTAAAACCAACATAAGTATTAACCTTTTTCTCAAAGATAAAATCTCCTAAAGGACATTTAAATTGATATAAAATGTTGTCTGTCATGAGATGCTAGTTGGCGGAGAAGTATTATTTTGGAATCCTAGGTTGGCAGTATTAAATTTATTATCTTTTTAATATATATATATATATATATATATGAAGAAAAATATACGGAAAAAAACAAACAAAAATCCTAATATGCAATTATGCTGTTTTAATGTTAATATAATGTCAACTTCGGATGTTTCGGTCTAGTAGACCATCTTCAGGACATATTCATAAAACATAATTAACATTAGACTATATTTAATTCAACATGTAAAGACGATGGACATAAGAGTACGACTAATCAAAACAGACAACTGAAATTTTTCAAGATTGCCGACGTGATCATATTGAAACGGAACGCTGATCTTGACCATTCTAGTATTTTCTTGTATTAAATATATTGTATTAGAGCTTTTGTATAAATTATTTTTTTCATTTTTATTTTTTAAAATATATATATATATGCATGTGTATGTATATGTTTGTGTGTGTGTGTGTAGCCATTATATATAATGATCCACTCAATTTTTTGATATTTTCAATTTTAATATTGTCCTGTTTTTACTGCACATTGAATATAATCTGGCATCGTATATTAAAGTTCCACAAAACAATTTTCTTTTAACTTTATCTATTCGGTCCTTTTAAGAAGTTTACGTAATATAAAAAAAATTGAAAAATTCTTAAAAAATATGTTTTTTTTTTGTTGTTCAAGTTTAATCTCTGTCTACTTCACCAAATCTGAACTTTGGATTTCGCTATATTATGTTCGATGCTGACATGTCTAAAGTGTCAATTTATCAAGACATGAATTTATAACCTACCTTCATAATGTGGCACCATTTACGAGGCAGAGAAAGGAAGAGAAAGAAAAGAAGGCAGAAAAGAAAGGCGAGACGAATCGTAGGTGATAAGCAGCTACACACACGGCTAAGAGACAATGAAAATATTGATAAGTAACAAATGAAAAAGGGTGTCATTACAATGACAGGGAATTTCTGAGTCAAAAAGAAAGGGAAAGAATGAAGGAATCAGATGTGTTTTGATAACGGCTGTGTTATCTAGGTGCGTAAACGAACGGCTGGACCACTGGCCAGGGAAAAATTCAAGTGAAATGCTATTTCGATAAGTGACGAGAAACAGGCCACTAAAAAAGGACTTTGGACAGATATGAAAAATTAAATCCCACACAAGCAGTCCCGCTGACCGAATTCTTTTCGACGGAACAACTTTGGCCTGCGATAATAAAATTATGTTATCAGGAATATGTACCGAAGGAAAATGAATGGGGACCCAGAAGTGTTTTTCTTTCTTCCTTTGAGGCGACAGACTGACTGAAAACTTTGGGGATATTTATTTTTGAAGCCATGTTAAGAATACCACCCATCTTGATAAATTAGCGATAAAATACCTGACAAACACCACGTGTAAAACAAGAGTTGTCATATTGTCCGTTGCGACTAGAAGGGTGATAACGGCGATTGAAAGGAAGAAAAGGGAAAGAGAAGAGATAATTTTTTTTTAGTTAAGCAAGATATTTTTTTTTCCGAAACAAAGCCACGGATTGTTCACGCCCGACTAAGACATCATTGGTCAAGTGGAGGTCACGTGACGCACGAAGGAGGAGGAAAGATACCCGACCAAGACCTCATTGGCCGAGTGGTGATCATGTGACGCACGAAGAAGGCTGTCGACGCCCCATCCAGAGTATAAGTATGAGAAGCTGCTACAAAAGAAGTGGGAGGGCAGTTCACGCCCCTCAGAGGTATGGTGAGAGTGGAGTGAGGAAAGTTTCCCAAAAATGGAAAAATGGAAAATCCCTAACCAGAAATAAAAGAGGTGGATATGTATTTAGAATTATCGAGGAACCCCCCGACGCCAACAGACCCAACCCAGTTTTGGTCGGCGTCAATAAAAGCGAGGCCCCAACAGGCAGAAATCTGTTCGGGCTCGAATTCCCAGAGTTGAGTTCCCAGAGTCAGTCTCCAGTTGGATAGCTGACCAAGATTCACGCAAAATTCCGGACTCCTCTTCAATCCAAGAACAATTATTTTGAAGAGCGACTTAGAACCAGACCACCGAAATAAATTTTTTTTCGACTTTCGTCCAAAGACACCGAAACGCCAATTTCTTAGAGAGCAAACAACTTGAAGCGTTAAAAACTTGCCTAACGGAAAACGACGTGTCACAATCCACAGAACGGGTCGGGAGATAGATGCAGTCCTATGTATCGAACAACTAGACATAAAGTTTGTTACCTTTTTCTTTGATACTTTGAACTTTTTGAGTTTTCATTTTCTTTTCTTTTATGCATATTTGTGTAGTATCACCCCCGTTGAACTCAGTTTGCATTACGGCCCCAACCACTGTTTGATCTCGTCTGTCTAAGATCAATTCACAACGTGGGTAGGCAGACTGGAGATCAATGCAGTTACCTTGGTAACCAGGCATTGGAAGCGAGTTGGGAACGACGAGGCTGATATCAAATCTAACCAGATTCCCTCCCGAATCACCAAAAGTTTAGAACGTCACATTTGGGTGCCGCGACCGATACCAAGCCAGTTGGTCGTCACAGGACGAGACAACACGACTGACGCGACAGGCGGACGTCACGTTTGGAGCAGCGACACCCGAACGGAGCAGCGAGGAGCGAACAGCTGGCGCCGCGGCGAGGACGTCACAATTGGTGCTGTTTGGGGACGTCACAACTGGCGCCGTGGTAGATCAGGATAGAACGTCACAGTCGGCGCTGCGACCGGGGGACGACGTCACAATAAACCCTCTAAATTTATCTTTCATTTTTCGACTTTAGCATTGATCTGACTTTTAATTGATGAATCAAGACATACCCATAAATATATATTTTAACGCTGACATTAAGTTCGCACACTTTTTAACTTTCAAAAGGGGTAACGATTTGTTTTCAAATTTCCCAAATAAATCATTTGCATTATGCTATCTACCATCGCCCGATGAAGAAATATTAAA